TGCTTTTTTTTTTTTTTTATAAAGAGGAATGGGTTTATTAGGACTTTAAAAAATAAGTTGGGTTTCTTTTTTTCACTATCAAAGGTAGGTGGCGCCGGGATTGATTATATCGTTAATTGATTGGATTTTTTTTTCTTTCTTTGTTTGTTTGTTTGTTTGGTTGGTTGGTTTTTCGTTTGTATATTTCTTGGAGGGGCACACAGAAAGCTGCGGGTGGGTTGTTGGGTCGCTTAGCTTTTCATTATCTGTCAGGTTTGAAAATCTTCACAATTTTGGCCATTCAGGTTACTTACCTCGGGGGGAAATGAGGTGGCCTTGGTAAGTTTGGGGGTAGGTGGGACCTCCGAGCTGGGGGGAGATAGGGTAGACACCGCTAGTTTGGTGGTAGGTGGGACCTCCGAGCTGGGGGGAGGTTGGATCTCCCGGTCGATGGGGTCGGCCGATGACTGGTGGGTCGGAGGTCCTTGTTTTGGGCGTTTGACAGGTGGAGGTACTCCGGGGCCGCCCAGGGGAGCGACATTTGGGGTTGTCACACGAGAGGAGTTCTCTCCCTTTCTCCGGCGTTTGGCAGGGTTGGTCGTTTGGTTTTTCTTGCTCGCGTCTTGTTTTTCTGCATTTTGGTCACATTTCTGGAATCAGAAACATATAAGTATTATCCAGAAGGTCCTTGTAAAAAGGGTATTTTACCACAGAGTAGAAAACCGCTTTATCAAACTAACAAAACACTCTTAAAAAAAAAAAACGAATAAAAATCAATCTATTAAAATGCTGTTGTTTTTATTTGTTTGTTTGTTTGTTTGCTGTTGTTTTTTATGCTAATTTGTGCAAACAAATACAACAGCAAAAATTGTAAACAATTAATAAAGTGTTGTTGTTACTGAATAGTTGGCCTATTAAAACAAACAAAACAATATACAAGCAAAGCGGTGTTTTATAGAAACTAACAATTAAACACACATAAAAACATACACCCCTCCCCCCTCTCCCAAAGAAAAAAGGCGATGTGTTACCAAAGAGTAGACGGCCATGTCTGCGTTCTTCTGAATCTCCTTCAGATTTTTCTCTCTCTGCTGCTTGGTCTCCCGAACAGGCTCTCCGTTCCCCTCTGTCCATCCCACCTGGTTTTCTTTCCTCTCTTCTGTCAATCTCTGCAGGTTCTCCCATAGTTTATCCACAACTTCCTTGAGCACCGCTTCCTTCCTCATTTTTTCCGACACTCTTGGAAAGTCTTTTGGGCGATGTTTTAGTTGGGCCTGTTGGTTGAAAACCAAAACAAATATTTTACAAAACAAAGCAACAATAATAACAACGATAACAACAACAACAGAGGCAATAAAGACAGCAAACACATCAACCATAACAACAACGACAATGACAAAAGGAAAAAAAAGCCTCCTTAACCGTAGCTCACTTCAATGGTTGTTTTGTTTTGCTTTGTTTTGTTTTGGTCAACGAATTTTTATCGTAGGTTACTTATTATACGACAGCCGCTCGCCTCCTTTGGGAACAATTCTTCCACGAGTGGACTTTTGGGTGACTCTGTGGCTGTTTGTTGGAGAGGAGACTTTTGTGGACTTTTTTTCGAAAATTGATTTTGTCAAGGAATGTTTATCTTAAGCTGCTTACATTTCTACGACAGCAGCCCGCCTCCGTTTGGAGTAACTCTGACAAGTGAGAGTAGATTGTGGACAAGTTTGTCCATGTACCTATACCTGGTTGTTTGGTTGATGGAAAGAAAACTTGTCGGCCAACACGCCCTCTTAGGATTTTTTCCTTGTTATTATTATTATTATTATTACTGTTATTATTATTATTATTATTATTATTATTATTATTATTATTATTATTATTATTATTATTATTATTATTATTATTATTATTATTATTATTATTACTGTATAAAGTATTATTTATTGTATTATTAATATTTATCATTATTATTATTATTATTATTTTTATTTTAGTATTATTATTATTATTAATAATAATAATAATAATAATAATAATAATAATAATAATAATAATAGTGATAATGATAATGATAATGATAGTGATAATGATAATGGTAATGATAATAATATTAATAATGATAATAATCCCACCTGGTTTTCTTTCCTCTCGTCTGTCAATCTCCTCTGCCTCTCCCATAGTTTATCCACCACTTCTTTAAGCACCGCGTCCTTCTTCATTTTTTCCGACACCCCTGGAGTGTCTTTTGGGCAATGCTTTGGTTGGGCCTGTTGGTTGAAATTTTTTTTTTTACAAAACAAAGCAACAACAATAATAACAACAACAAAGACAATAAGACAACAACAACAACAACAAAACAACAACGACAAGTACAACGACGACGACGACAAAAGGAAAAAAGCCTTCTGAACCGTAGCTCACTTCAATGGTTCTTTTGTTTGTTTTTGGTCAACTAAGGTTTCTCGTAGACATTTTTAATGAGTGTCTTGGTCTTTCTGCTGGGATGTTGTATCCCTCTCAGCCTGGGTTGGCCCTGACGGGTAGGGTCAGAAGTCCTCTTCCTAAATGATCGAGATTGTGTCGATGGGGCCTTAAAAAATCGACATTTAAAAAAATGGAGTGCCAAAGACTAGAGGTGTTACAAAAGAGTAACAAACACAAAAGAAGGAGAGATAATAAGGACGTTAGAAGGAGCAAACCGCACCAGAGCACCCGCCAACCACTACGAAGTTTATGACTCTGAGTGAAAGTTGTTTCATTGACAAAACTTGACCATAGTCTGGTAATGGTAGACATTTCTTATTCAAATTCCAGTGCTTTCTTTGTTGGCATGACTGTGCACTTGTATAAAACGAGTAGGGAGAACAGCAACCTATGAGTGGAAACTACTCGCAGGGGTCGGTAAAACCTTGCTTACAATTTTACAAATTATGATTACTGCATCCTCATGACTATTCTGTTTCTTCTCTTTTACTATTATTCTGCTTTTTAGGCTCTGGAACGATATGCCTAGCCAACGGAAGAAGACCGAGAAACGTGCACTTGACGTCATTATTATGTTGAACAAACGACTACACCTCAGTGTAACCAATCATCTTGACGAGCATAGCATACACACTTCCTTTATTTTCTAATAGAACATCCCAGCAGAAAAAATAGAGATGAATGAAACAAAGAAGAAGAAGAAGAAGAAGAAGAAGAAGAAGAAGAAGAAGAAGAAGAAGAAGCAGCTATCAATTTTCGTATTCATGGCACGAGGTGTACATGTGTTTGGACAACTTAGTAATGTTTTACGTCTCCACTGATACGATTCAGACAATTCTTTGTATTCTAAAAGAAATCAGGTTTACCAAGCAGAATTGGTCAACAAGTGAGCGGACATAAAAATTAAACAAACAAGTTGTATAACAAACGTCTTTCAGCGCACAGTTCAATACAGGTTTCCCTTGTTTAAGGAGACCAAAGATCACTATTATACACACAGAAACTATTCCAATGATAACAAAAAATACTCAAATGCACATTGAAATTATTCAGAAGTGCACATTCAAACGAAATTCCCCGACAAGCGAAGAATATTTTCAACATAAACGCTATAAAATGGCTTCTTGGGCTCATTCTTACTGCTATGACACGAGGCACGCCGTGTGCTTTGTGCGTTGTGATTGGATAACCCGCTGTGGAAGGCGGGGCTTATGTACATGTGCCCATCCCGTGTCGAATTGCCGGTTGGGATACATACCCGTGTCCTGTTTAGTTTTAATTAGAGTTTTACGGAACATGCAACACAAATAGGTCATATAAGTGGCCAAGGTTAGAGATTGTACTTACTAGAGTTTAACATACGGAGAAAAGAAGGATGAGAGTTGAGGACAATAAAAGTTTGATTAAAAAAAAAAAGAAATAAGAATCCACAACAGAGCACCCGCCAACCACGTGATTGTGTAATGCTGGACACAAAGGCTTGACATGTAGCTGCCGTGGGCAGTGGATGGAGTTTTATGACTGACCTATATCCACCTTTCATTGTTCATAGTGGGACTTGGAGAGGTAGACTGGTGACGTCACATTTCTAACGGCTGCCATTTTGCCTCTCTCTTGAAGTTGTTCAAATCGGGATTATTTCAGAGTTAGAAGGCAATATTGGCTTTGCTGTTGCTTTGTTTGTTTGGTGTTGGGGTTTTGCTTTGTTTTAATTTTTTGTTTAGCCGGGGGGGGGGGGGGTGTTGCTTTTTGAGTGAGTTGTAGTATTTTTTTCTAGCATTTATTGTTTATTTCATTGTTGTTGTTGGTTGTTATGGTGTGAGTGCTAAAAGGCCCCACAACCAGGTCATTCTTCTTCTTCTTCTTCTTCTTCTTCTTCTTCTTCTTCTTCTTCTTCTTCTTCTTCTTCTTCTTCTTCTTCTTCTTCTTCTTCTTCTTCTTCTTCTTCTTCTTCTTCTCTCTCTCATAATATTCATATTATTTCTGTCCGCATGGTCTTATCCTCCCCCGTCCCCAGAATAAACGATCATCACCCTATCCATGTATCTTACTGTACTCAAAACAATTATACGTACAAACCAACTAACTAAAAAGTTTATGTCTTAGAAAGAGTGAAAACTTTTTCATTGACCAAACTTGTTAACAGCCTGGTAGCGGTAGATGTTTATTTGTTCTGTTGGTCCAAAAAGGACACCACGGAAAGTTCGTGGTCTTTAAGGCTGCCACCTGTCGCCATTTTCTTTCTGCTAAATGTGCGTTTCAAGAAGAAGAATACCTGGGATACCTTGATACCTACATGTGAACATGTAACATACATACGTCATATAAGTGTCGAAGGGTATAGGTTTTAGTGACAAGAGAAAGAAGAATGAGAGACAAGACGATAAAAGTTTGATACGAAAGAAAGAACAAACCACAGCAGAACACCCGCCAACCACGTGGTTGTTTAGGGGCTGGACATAAAGGCTTGACCAGTAGTAGCGTGGCCAGAGAGTGGAGTCATGTGACTGGGCTTTATCCACCTGTCATTCTTCATTGAGGGACTGTGGAGAGGTAGACTATGATGTCACCTTTCTTTCAGCCGCCATTTTGCGTCTAACTTGAAATTTGACTTTGTTTGTGTTTAAATCGGGATTTTTTTTTAGTTAGAGACCAATGCTGACTTTTCTGGGTTTTTTCATTGTATTTCGTTTTTGTTTTTTGTTTATTTGTTGTTGTTTTTTTGTTTTGTTTTTAGGGGGGTGTTAGTTGTTGGGGTGTTGTTGTTTTTTTGTTTTTTTTTGGGGGGGGGATCTTATTTTAGGAGGCAGTTGTATTTTTGCTGCTTTTTTCTAACATTGTTGTTTTTGTTGGTGGAGATGGCGGTTATGGTGGTGTGAATGTTTGGAGGGGGCCTCACCTCATTCTTCGCTCACTCTCTTTCTTTAACTTTCTGTATCTCTTTCTGTGAGTGTGTACGTGCATGTATTATTGATATTATAATTTATATCTGCATTCTCTCGTAATTAACGACCATCGCTCTGTCCATGTGGTTTTATGTAATCAAACAAAGCAAAAAAAATTACTAACTTACTAACAAGTTTTAGTCTTAGACCAAGATAAAAAAGAAGAAGAAGAAGAAGAAGAAGAAGAAGAAGAAGAAGAAGAAGAAGAAGAAACCTTTTTTATACTGTACTTACTGGAACCATCCTGTGATGCTGGAGGTCCTTTCTTTTTCCAACACTTGAGGTAACGAATTCTTGAGTTGAAAACTTGGAAATGATTTACGTCCCCGCTGATACGATTTAGACAATTGTTTATATTTAAAAAGAAATTAGGTTTACCAATCTCAAATCGATACCCAGAGAGTGGATATCAACAAACAAGTTGTGAAACAAATGTCTTGCAGTTCACAGTTCAAAGATCACACTTTTTCCACACACAGAAAATGTTCCAAACTATTCCAATGAACACAAGACATATTCCAATGCACATAAGAATTATTCAGAAGTACACATTCAAACGAATATCCCCTACAAGCGAAGATTATTTTCCACAGAAACGCTAGAAATGGCTTCTTTGGGCTCTTTCTTGCTGCAATGTCACGAGGCACGCCGTGTGCTTTGTGATTGGATAACCCGCTGCGGAGGGCGGGGTTTATGTACATGTTCCCATCGCGTGTCGAATTGCAGGTTGGGATATATACCCATGTCCTGTTTAGTTTTAGTTAGAGTTTTACGGAACATGCAACACAAATAGGTCATATAAGTGGCCAAGGCTAGAGATTTTACTTACTAGAGTTGAATATACAAAGGAAAGAAGGATGAG